TGTACACCTAAAATCCCAGCACTAGAAGGGATTTTAGGGCGGCTGGAACAGGAGGATTGCCATGAGTTGGAGGCCATCTTTAGCTACATAGTGAGTACAAGGCCAGACTGGACTACATAGTGAGACTCTGTCTCAGACAGGAAAGGAAGAAAAAAAGGAAGGAAGGAAGGAAGGAAGGAAGGAAGGAAGGAAGGAAGGAAGGAAGGAAGGAAGGAAGCAATCGCCTCCTAGGATAGCCACAAGGCTTAGCATCTCACTAACATACAAAAGTTCCCTAGGTACTGGTACTCTCAACTGTCCCCTGGTATGTGACACAGCTGCCCCCAGGGACACTTGGGTGGGTCTGCCTCACTCAGCTCTACTGGACAAGAAAGCATAGAAGCCTGGAGCTGCCCTGTGGGTGAAAGTTGGATATCAGCTCCCAGTCACTTGTAGGATTAAGCACCCCATCTTTGGTCTCATGACTTTCTCTGACATCCTAGGGGAGGGACTTCCCTCCTTCTGATCCCCATGTGCTAGTTTTAGACTTAACCTATAATATGCTTTGACTAACAGCATATACACTGAGATGCATTTTTCCAATTCCAAAGAGGCCTGGAATTTTCCCTTCTCTCTATCATGTCCCTGGCACACAGTAGGTCCTCACACCTATTTTATAGTTATACTTATTGATGGGGGACTGGGGATAGAATCCAGGCCCTTCACACTGAGCTACATCCCCAGCCCTTTCGTGGTACTAGGGATCAAACTCAGAACCTTGCACATGCCAGTCAGGTGCTTATGCCACTGAGCAGTCTCCCCAGCACTTTTTTTTTTAAAAAAAAACAAGGTCTCACTATGTAGTTCAGGCTAGCTTTAAACTCACTATGTAGCTCAGGCTGGCCTTGAACTCACAGCAATCCTCTTGCCTCAGCCTCTTGAGTTCTGAGATTATAGACTGCTGCATCTGGAGCCAGCTCTTTAAAATTTTTTTTTTTTAGTTTTAATTTTGAGAAGGTCTTGCTGAGTCACTAAATTGCCCAGGGTGGGCTTGAGTTTGTGATTTTCCTTTCTCAACCTCCCTGAGTACTAGGGTTATGGTGTATAGCACCATACCAGGCTTGGTCCATATCTCTTTATTCCCCCCACCCTACCCCAGACAGGATCTTGCTATGTAATCCAGATTGACCTTGAATTCACTATATATCCCAGGCTGGCCTCAGACTTTCAGCCATCTGTCTGCTTCAGCCTCCCAAGTGCTGGGATTCTAGGCAGGCTCCACCATGCTGTGTTGGTCCACGTTTTCTTTTCTTTTCTTTGTGTGTTTGTGTGCGTGCAAGGTCTTACTATGTAGCTCAGACTCTAAGTGATCTTCCTATTTTCAACCTCCCTAGTGCGGGGATTACAGGCGTGCGCCACACACTCCATCACTGGCTCAGCATGCCGGGGGGGTGGGGGGATTGAACTCTGGCCCCTGTGCTTGCCTCAGCAAACGCTTAGTCCACTGAGCTATCTTGCTGGCTCTGGTCCACATTTTCAGTGATGGCCCTTTGCTGTTTCTCAAGAGAAGCGATCAGAAAATAACTGCCAAATAACTACATACCACATTGATCCCTCCCACTCACATGAATATGAAAGGTGAAGTCCCTGGGGATGCAGCCCTGACCTTGGACCTGGTCATTTTTTTTTCTGGTCATTTTTCTACATGATTATGAAGTAAATGATGGCAGACAGGGCTGGGGAGATGGCTCAGTGGAATAAACGCTTCCCTGGCAAGTACAAGGGCCTGAGTTCAATCCCCGGTTCTGAAAAAAAAAAAAGTATTTAGCACAGGGTCTACAGGGTCTCACTACACAGATCAGACTCGTAGTGATGCTCCTGTTTTCAGCCTCCCAAGCTCAGGGATTATAGGCACGCACCACCACACCCAGTCTCAACCGCCATCTCAACACCCCCCCAGGGGTAGCAGAGCTGGCACAGCATGCCAGGGATCGAACCCCAGTCTCTGCATCTGCCTAAGCAGGTGCTTTAATCTGCTGAGCTATCTGGCTGGGCCTGAATGTTTTTTAATGTTTTGGTTTTTGAGACAGGTTCTTGCATGTAGTTCAAACTGGCCTTGAGTACACTATGTGGCTCACGCTGGCCTCAGACTTGCAGAGATCCCCCCTCCCCGGCAGTGGCCTGAATGCTACAATGGTAGGGAAGCTCTGCCACATGTGGCTAGGCTTGTGTTATTGGGGAAATGGGGATCAGCAACCATGTGGGCGAAGCAGGGGCAGGGCACAGAGTCCAGCTGTCCTGCCTGTTATCCAGGGCTCTTCCCTCCTAGTGGCCTGGAGGGGAACATTGCTTCTTGCTCAGCCCCTTCCAGCCCCAAGCCCTCTCCTCCTCTTCCACTTCTGCACTTGTCTTCCTTTCTTCTCTCCCGCCCTTCTCTAGCCCAGTTGTGGGAGGGAGACTCCAAGCCTGGCAGGCCGAGCCAGACAATGAGCCCTTATTCTGGGGGAAGAATCCCTGCAGTGTCTTCCACCCACTGAAGCTGCTTCCAGGACCAGGGTGGCTGGGTGGGGGTGGAGGTGGCAGGGCTCTGTGGAGGAGGAGCAGTTGGCAGCAGGACACAGAGGCCCTGGCTGTGGGGATCCCACAGGGGGTTACTATGTAAACAGCATGGTCAATAAAAGCCTGTCCTCTGTCGCAGCCTCTTCTGTCCAAGCAGATCACTTGAAGTTTTTAAGCATTTGTACTGCTTTCTCCTCTGCTCCTCTGTTGATATTTATTTCTCTGTACTACTAGCTCACTTTCCAAGTCTCCTCTCCTTAGTACTGGGGATTGAACTTGGGACCTTTGCACTGAGTTATACCCCAGATCTTTTTCACTTGTTACTTTGAGACAGGCTCTTGCTTACTTGCTCAAATTGAGCTTGAATTTGTGATCCTCCTACGTCAGTCTCCCAGAGTTACAGTGGAAGTAAATCCCAACCAGTTACATGTCAGATGTGCCAGTTCCTGTCTCATATCAGAGTGGATTTGGGAGAAAAAGAGGTTAAAGTACAAAAGATTTATTGAAAGAAAGCTCCCAGGAGCAGTCCCTAATGTAGGTTCCACTGAGGCTCTTTGTCCAGCAGAATCACAACGTGGGTCAAACTACAATCAACCTATAGAATTACAAGTGTAGCTGCTTAGCTCCTACTGATCCAATAAGGACGCAAGGCACATAGCATGGCTATATGATGGGCGATACTAACCTTGACTTATCTGTCACTTTTTTTTTAAATTTTATTTATTTATTTATTTATTTATTTTGTGTGTGTGTGGCCAGCTCAGCCCACCAGGGGGCGGGGCTGGCTGGCATGTGGTGCTGGGAGATTGAACCGCGGTCCCTGTGCTTTGCTTGGCTTAGCTTGTTCTAAGTTGGTGCTTTAGACCACTGAGCCATCTCACCAGCCCCTATCTGTCACTTTTGACATAGAAAGAACCAAGGCATCCCTGAAAAGGGATTGAAGCATGGGCCAAAGTGTTCTGATCACCCACCTGTACATGTGATGCCTCTCTGGGCTCAATGGACCAGGTAGTGCTAATTACAATCTATAGCAGGCTCTCTTTATCCCTAGGGATGCCCTCAGGCCTGGCTCTCCAGTCTCCATCCTGAGACCTGGCTCTCTTTAAATTCACATCCATCCACAATTTTGATGAACCTCTTCCAGTTGACCAACTCCCTCAGTGCCTGGATCCCTCTGTGACCACCTATTAGCTTATGGCTAGCTTAGCTACTTGTCACACTGGGCTTACATGTGAGTACTAGCGCCCCTGTCTCTCTTCTTTCCATGTCCGTCTCTCTGTAGTCTGCGTCCATGTCTCTCTGTCTCATCTTTGTCTGCTCACATCACCCAGAGCCTTTCATCTGAGGTTTATTTTTCTCTTTCTTTCTTCCTTTCTTTTTTGTTTTTTTGAGACAGGGTTTCGCTATGCAGCTCAGGCTGGTTTTGGTCTCACTTTGTAGCCTAGACTGATCCCAGCTTGTAACTGTCCTCCTGCGTCAGCCTCCCAAGTGCTGGGATCACACTCGTGTGCTGCCATGTCCAGCCTGAAGACTTTCATTAGTCGTTTTCAGTAAGAAATCACTTTATTTCATTCATTTCTGTTATTAAGCTTAAAAAAGCTGATTTAAGTATTAAATGATCAAGTACAAATTTCCTGCTCTCAAAGTATTTCTTGCTCATCCCTGGGATGTTAAGGAAGGTCTTTCTCCTTTTATAGATTTGGAAACTAGGCAATGGCTTCTTTGGATCCGCCCCCCCAGGTTGGGGGGGCAGCACCTCGGACAGCTCCTGGATCAAGCGGCCATGCACTTCTCGCGAGAGTGATCAGTAGTTAGGCGCAGAGTGGGAGTCTCGCGAGAGCGGCTGCAGAGGCCAGCGGGGGCGCGCGAGGATCCGGTCCTCGTCGCGCGCTTCTCCAGCCCGCGCGGCTCGGCGCCGCCTCGCTCGGAGCAGCGCAGCAGCTGGGGTGAGTTGCGGTCCGCAGGGACTGAACGGGACAGGGACGAGGACGAGGCTGGGAGCGAAGACAGTCGCCGGCGCAGCTCTGAATTCCGCTGAGCTGCCGGGATGCAGAGTCGGGGTGACCTTCCCTGCGCACCCCCGCCACAGCTGCGGCTGTCCCTATCTCGGTCGCGCGCGGGACTCAGGGTCCGGTGACGTCAGACCCTTCATCCCTTGGCCTTGTCTCCAACACCCCCAAACTCTCCCCCAACCCCGGGACCTGGGATGGGAGAGCAGGAGACCATTCGTCCCCAAGGCGCCCAGGTGACCCAAGTCTCCCCAACCTTCCTCCTTAGCAGCGACCTTCAGTTTTTGGGGTTTTTGTTTTTGTTTTTTTTTCCTTCCGTTTTGGCGGAACCAGGGATTGAACTCAGGCCCTAGTGCTTGCCGGGGAAGCGCTTATTCCACTGAGCCATCTCCTGGCCCCCCAGCAGCGACCTTCAAATGAGGGATTGCAGCTACCCCGGGGCTGAAGGAGGGGGATGGGCCCTCTAGATGGGCCTAGTGGTGGGGGCGCCACACAGAACAGGCGCGAGCTGGTCACGAGGAAAGAGGCGAGGTGTGTGGGGACCAATCCTTGTCCCCTCTTGGGGAGCTGTTGGGTGAACCGAGTGTAGACTGCGAAGAGCATTGGCAATCGCAGGACACAAGCCCATCGTGTCCCAGCTCCCCACGGGGGCATCAGAAGGCCTGGCCGACTTTACTGGGGACACAGTGAGAGGCCAGCAGAGCCGGTGATCAGGAGACTGGAGGAGGTGAGATTTGGGTGGAAGGAGAGGCACTATAGGACAGGGGTGGCACGGGACAAGACGAACAGGTAGGAACAAGC